GGGGTTTCACCATATTGACCAGGATGGTCTCGATCTCTTGACCTCGTGATCCACCCGCCTCGGCCTCCCAAAGTGCTGGGATTACAGGCGTGAGCCACCGCGCCCGGCCCTTTAACACATTTCTTTAGGGATTTCTTTGGATGAATTATTAGCAAAATTTGGTATATAATCCTTACAATTTCAAAATCAGACCTTAAAGTCATGCATAATCTTTTCTCTAGTACACTTTGATTCATAAGTTTTAATTTTTATTTACAATGGTATCAACTATTTGAATTTTTAGATTATGAAAGCAATATATGATCATTTAAATAATTTAATTTGAATAGAAATAATATGAAGCAAGATTGTCCAACCTTCGGCCCCACAGGAAGGCTTTGAATATAGCTTAACATAAATTTGTAAACTCTTTTTTTTTTAAACAGAGTCTTGCTCTGTCACCCACACTGGAGTGCAGTGGCACAATCTTGGCTCACTGCAACGTCCACCTCCCAGGTTGAAGTGATTCTTCTGCCTCAGCCTCCTGAGTAGCTGGTGTGTACTACAGGCACACACCACCATGCCTGGCCAATTTTTTGTATTTTTAGTAGAAATAGGGTTTCACCATGTTGACCAGGCTGGTCTCAAACTCCTGAACTCAAGTGATCCACCCACCTTGGCCTCGCAAAGTGTTGTTGTTTTTTTTTTTTTTTTTAACTCATCAGTTATAGTTAGTGTTAGTGTATTTTATGCATGGCCCAAGATAATTCTTCTTACAGTGTGGCCCAGGGAAGCCAAAAGATTGGACACTCCTGATACAAAGTAAATGTAAAAGCCCCCTTCTTACTCTGTAAACTAATGCCACTGACTAGCATTAATAACCCGTGATAAGTTTTTTGGGTAGCCTTTTAGACAGACATTTTCTGTGTGTGTGTGTATACATATGTGTGTATATATACAATGTGTATATTATATATATATATTTCTGTTTGTATATACAAAATTATATATAATTCTGACATATAATCCATATAATATATAGTATATAATTATAGAGTTCTTATATATTATGAGTATATTACATATTTTATAATATATAAAGATGTATATATTTTATAATATATATATATTTTAATATGTTACATATATATAATTGTTTATATACAGAAATACACACACACGCACACACACACACACACAGAGAAATAAATTGCTTTTTCCACCTAGCAGGTTTTGGACTCATTTCTGTATGTATAGAATGGTCCATTTTATGGATAGACTGTAGTTGATTTAATTGGATCCTTATTGATGGCCATTTAGATTGCTATCAGAATTCTAATATTAAAAACAATACTCAGCATTCTTGAACCTAATTCTGTGTATGTTTGTATATGTGTGTATTTCTAAAAATAGAATTTATTTCTTTGAGGATATTTAACGTTTTGATAGTGCCTATATCCTCCCAAATTATTATTTCACTTATACTCCAAGAGGCTACATGAGAGTACTTGTTTCTGTACAACCTCACCAACAGCAGGTATACCCAGAATTTTTTTAAATGTATGTCAGTTTGATGGGTGAAAATTGGTACTGTGCTTTTATTAATTAACAAAAAAATTTGTATTTTTTTGTGAACATGTTTGCCTATATGCCTATTTTACAAAGAATTCTTTGTAAATTAAATAGTACTTTGTTATAAGTGTTTCCGTCTCCCACCCCCATATATTGCTTTTTGTTTTCTAGGTTATGTCTTGCACTTACAAAGTCTTTATATAGTTTAAGATTATTCCAAAATAATTTTTCTTTACCTGTTTTTTTTTGTTTTGTTTTTTTTCCCCCTAGTTCCTAAGTATATTCCAAGGTTCTTTCTCTTTTAATTTCCAGTTTCACCACTTGAGGGAGTTTTTATGTGAAAGTTGAAATTGAATGTGGGTGAACAAAAGCACTGAATATTAGCTGTCCATGGGCTCTTAGAATTTTTAGTAGAAAGCTGTCCACAGATGAAATACTTTGATCCAGAAATATTAAAGCGAGATTTCTTCTTTCATCTAGAATTATTTTCAATGCTCCAAACTAGTAATAAATGGGGGAAGAGATTGTGTTTTTCCTATTAAGATGATACAAATTTGCCATCATAGTAGTTTTCTACATACCTTCATGTGTGGAATATAGGCTTGGGATATTTATTGGCACACTGAAGGCAAAATTTTTTTCATAAACACACACATAATACATGTATCCATATACACACATGTATAGTTTCGTGCCATCAAACTCCTTGATCATTGCCATGCATCAAAAATTGAACTCGAAATACAAGACACACAAAAAAAGGTGAAGATTTCCATTTCTGCTGGCATTGGATCCAAAGATTTTAAGTCTTTAAGTGTCTGAATCTGAAGATGGAATCTGGTTTCTTGGATCATCCTGGATTATCATTTTCTGCTTCTAAACATTCTTGAATGGCTCTTGAATGGCCTGTAGATACCCAAGATATTTATCTTCCTAAATAATGTGCATGCCAAAATGTTCTTTACTTCTAGAATTTTCTAAGAGATTTAAATTTTCTTTCAATTGGTTTTCTGTAATACTTAAAATATTGAATATTCCAATTAATCTCTCTTTAACTGTAAATTTCAAACCCTGGACAGAGCCTTTGTATTTTCTACATTTTATGTCTGGATTTAAGATTTATTTTATTCCAGCAAAAATAACGTGTATAAATATGACTTGTTATCTTAAATAGGCCTTTTGTACTAATTTTCCTAATAGATAGATATAGATAATGTATAAGTTTTTAATCTTCCACTTGCACATCTAGAAAGTGCTTATTTTTATCATTTTGGTGGAATGGCAAAATATTATGAGATTTACATTTGCTTTCTTTTTGTGAGTACCTATGTTTATAACTTTTTTCCAAGTTATATATAGGTATTTATTTTATTAGAGTAGTTAGGCACATATACTCCTCCCCTACAGGTTCCACCATTATCAACATCCTACATCAGATTAGATACAGTTGTTATAATCAGTGAACCTATGTTGCCACAAGGTCCATAGTTTACATTAGGGTTCACTCTTAATGTCGAATGTACATTCTGTGATTTCTGACAAATGTATAATGATATGTATCTATCATAGTACCATACAGAATGGTTTCACCGCTCTAAAAGTTATCTGTGCTCTGCCTATTTATTCTTCCCTCCTCACAGTGTATAATTTTTGTACTTACCAAGTTTGAACTTTACTACAGATGACTTCGAATATTAGTTATTTAAAGAAATAGAATTAAAAGAGATAAAATAGGACTACATCTAATGACACAAAGTAATTGCTGAAAATTGTAGGAGATAACATGGCTCAATGGTAGAAGTATTGGAGAGAGAAAAATTTTTTTAATGAAAATTAGATACTTGTAGTATGAGTTTATACTAAGTAATGTGCCACTTCACATCCATCAAGTCTGTTATGTAGCCCCTTATTTGTCTTACTCTTTGTATCTACAATATTTCATTCAACATTTGACAAAAATAAGAATTTTGTAATTGTGCATGTATGCATGAAAGATGAATTTAGATACTTAAGTGAGTAGAAGCCCTACTTTTGTGGTTCTGATTGCACATCCTTTACTGCTGGGATCAAATATAGGCTTATGGAGCTCAGCTGTTAGACCTCTAGCCTCCCTGCTTCACTTGCTTTCAAGGAAATGACCAAAGAAAACTTGGTATGTTATTTTAGATTATGAAATGCTATTATAATAAATGTATGGTTTAGTTAAGTCTGCTAAACATCGTCATTTTTGAATAAGTGTCAGCTCTCTTTATGTACCTTACCGTAGTTTTAAACTATTGTTTGTGTCTTATTTAGGATGCTGCAGCTGATTCAGAGTAGGCTACAAGAAGAGCATTCACTTCAAGATGTGATATTTAAAAGTGCTTTTAAAAGTGCATCAACAGCTCTTCCACCAAGGTGAAATCTGTATTTTAAATGTACAGCTATTTATTATGAATTTATTTTGACATAATTAAAACTAAAGTGTTGGTTTATTTTTCTGAAACACTTTTCTTAGAAAGTGAAAATAGAATCATTCTGTACTCTAAAGATGACTTTTGCTCTCAAATTTATAGCCTGTGATTTTGATCAGTATCATCACACGTATATTATTTCATTTGCATTTAATTTTCTTTTTTATGTGTGGTATATCTCCCTATAAAATTCTATTAAGTTTTAAGAAAAATTAGTTTCACTATTATGAGGATATATAAACTTTGGTTAGAAATTTAGTTTTATTTCACTTTTTTTTTTCAAGGCTATATATTTTTTTTTTTTAATTTTTTTTATTTTAAAGATTATAGGCCAGGCATGGTGGCTCATGCCTGTAATCCCAGCACTGTGGGAGGCCAAGGCAGGTGAATCATTTGAGGTCAGGAGTTCGAGACCAGCATGATCAACATGGTGAAAACCGCGTCTCTACTAAAAATACAAAAAAATTAACCAGGCGTGGTGATGCACACCTGTAGTCCCAGCTACTTGGGAGGCTGAGACAGGAGAATTGCTTGAATCCAGGAGGCAGAGGTTGCAGTGAGCCAAGTTTGCGCCATTGCATTCCAGCCAGGTCTACAGAGTGAGACTCTATAGCCAAAAAAAAAAAAAAAAAAAAAAAAAAAAAAAAAAAAAAAAAAAAAAAAAAAAAAAAAAAAAAAAAAAAGACTGGTGGATATTCAGAAATGCTGTAATCATAAACATAACAATTTAAATTTTAAAATACAGAAGAGTTTATATTTGCTTAGGAAGAAAATGTCATTGTCTCTTTGAACTTAGGTGGCATGCCTTTCCTTTACTTCAGTCATATTTCTACCCTTCCTCCCTGTCACCACTACAGTGGCAGATATAAATGAAGAAAGCATATCTTTTGGACTCATTTTTTTGTTTTAGTTTTTCTTCTGTTGCTGAACTAAGTCTTCTGGTTAGAGTTGAAGAACCATGGACTTTTAAATTTATGTAAATTTAATAGATATTAAATAAGTATTTTTTCCCATTTTATACATGTGTAATTTTTATAGATGTCTAGACTTCAGGAAACTGCTATTCTATTTTTGACATTTAGAATATTACCTGAAAAATGATCATTAGGGATTTTTTTTTCTCTACACAGTTTTCTCATTATAAAATGGTAACCATATTGAATATGCTTTAAATAATATACCTTGTTTTAACAGGGAAGATGATTCATCACAGTCTCCAGATGCATGCAGAATTCATGGTCATCTGTATGTCAATAAAGTAGCCGGGAATTTTCACATAACAGTGGGCAAGTATGTTGTTTTCACTTACTGAAAATACTTTGTAATATTAAACAAGACAGCATAGAAGCTTCCCTCAGTTTTCTGGGAAATTTAGTGTATATTAAAACTACAACAGGTGCTTTGTACAGCTAAATGGAGTTAAGTTCTAGACTCAGATTATTCTAATGGGCTTTTCATGTACACGAATATCTCTTAGAGCATTTGAAAGTCACGCAAAACTTGGGATGATTCTTTTTTGTGTGAGATGACCAATGTCATTGCAGGATGCCTTGTTTCTGTGGCAGTTGTCCAGTAAATGCCAATAGCAACCCCTCCCCAATAATTCTGATAACTCAAAATGCCTCTCTTCACTCGCCAGAACAACTTTTCATCCACTGAAAATCACTTAGACTAGTTTCCTTTCTGATAGAGTAGAAAATATCCCAGGAAAGAAATAAGTAAATTCTGAGTATCCACCCTCCCTATGCAGAGTTTTAACAAGTGTTAAGATAACTACAGTCATCTGTACTAGGGTGATTTAATTTGATTTTTAACTTTTAATTTTTTGAAGAGGATGCTCACTTATGCTATTATTTCATAAAATGAATATACCTGTTAACAAAATAAAGAAGGAGGTTTTATTTAAAACAGCTCTCTATTCCTCTCAGAGTAATATCCTGGGTTGTGAGAGAGATCATCCAAGTAAAATATATAGGTTGAGCATCCCTTATCTGAAAATCTGACATTTGAAATGCTCCAAATTTGGAGCATTCAAAATACTCCAAATTTGAGCATTGTCAACATGGTGCCCGAAGGAAATGCTTGAGAGTGTTTCAGATTTCAGATTTTCAGGTTAGGGAGGCCTACGTGGCAAATAAAATGTACATATTCCAAAATCCAAAATTTGAAACTTCTGATCCCAAGCATCTTGGATAAGGGATATTCAATGTGTAGTATTGTAATTTGTTTATTCAGAAAAATTTCCCTGAATTTGTTTGAAAATAATAGTAGGAACACTGTTAGACTGATGATATGAATGGAGCTAGGAATAATTTATGACAGTAGACTTTCTTTTTAGTAATAAGCTTGAGGTAATATACTTCACTGTGAACACAGGAGAATTTACCAGACCAAACTGCCAATTATTCCAGTGCATAAAGAAATGCTTTATTGAGCAAAGTTTTAGTATACTTTGTGTTAAATGTTAGTTAATACGTTTTCCTAATGATTGTATTGCTTTTTTTTTTTTTTTTAAGTGCCTCGTGTTTTGCTAGGTACCATATCGAAAAAATTAAACAATGTTTAGACCTACCAGGGCATATTCTGCAACTTGACAGTGGTGACAGTTAATTGGTTATAAATAAAGAAGGATCTTTTATTGAGAGTTTTTGTTTTCAATTTTTTAGTTAATTGCTAGAATTGGTAACTAGGTAAAGCAGGATTGTGGTAAAGGAGATCTTCAAGGTGATTTTTTTCATTATTTTAACCAGAAACAGGGAAGGATAATACTTACTTGTAGAGGTATAAAGTTAAAAGAACAGGTTAAATTTGAAATGTAACAGTGCATAACAGAACAAAGGCTTATTGCAGGGGTAGACAAACTATAGCTTATATACCAGATTCAGCCTACTACCTGTTTTTGTATAGTTCATGAGCTAAGAAGGGTTTTTATGTTTTTATTTTGTTTTATTTTATTTATTTATTTATTTTTGTGACAGTCTCGCTCTGTTGCCTAGTCTGGAGTGCAGTGGTGTGATCTGGGCTCACTGCAACCTCTGCCTTCTGGGTTTAAACAATTTTCCTGCCTCAGCCTCCCGAGTAGCTGTGATTACAGGCAGCCCACCACCACGCCTGGCTAACTTTTGTCTTTTTAGTAGAGACGGGGTTTCACCATGTTGGCCAGGCTGGTCTCAAACTGCTGATCTCAAGTGATCCTCCTGTCTTAGCCTCTCAAAGTGCTGGGATTACAGGCGGGAGCCACCTTGCTGAGCCACGGTTTTTACATGTGTAAATTTTTGAAAATAAATCAGAAGGGGAATAATGTAATACATGAGAAATATATGAAATTTAAGTTTGTGTCCAAAAATAGTTTTATTGGCATACAGCCATGCTCATTTGTTTATATATGGCTGTTTTTGTATTACAATCCCACAGCTGAGTAATTCTGGTAGAAACTATATTACTCCCTCATTACTGTGTACTTAGATGTACTATCAATTACAGTGATGCAGTTAGTAGTTGACAGCATTAAAAGTGCCATGTGTATTCTTGTACTGCAACATTTTATTTATTTATTGTATTACTATGTTAAAGAAAATAGGGACTCCAAATTTTGCATTTTTAAAGAACAGTGGAGTATGGATTATTTGATCAAATTTGGCTGCAGAAGATCCTGCTTATTAAGCAATGACACTATTTAATTTTGCCAAAAAGAGTACAGTGTATGTTGATAGTACCAGATTGAGCATTCATCACAATATTGCCAACCTATAAAAAAGCAACGGTCAGAAAAATTAGAAAATTTAAATTGAAATATCCAGAAACTATAGAATTTTATCATAAAAAGTGAAAATGAAGCTGTGGTCTTTAAGTACCTCATTGTTTACCAACATCCATGTATTGATAAATCTAAGAAACAATGTTTGACTGCAAAAGCTAAAGCAGTGAATCCAGAGAAAACAAATTTGCTTTAGACAATTAGATGATTAGCCTTCTTCAAGAAAAGTATTCCAGTAGATGAGGACATTGAGAGCAGTATCTAATAGTCAGTTAAAAAACAAGCCAGGAGGCTGGATGCGGTGGGTCACATCTGTAATCCCCCCACTTCGGGAGACAGAGATGGGTGGATCACAAGGTCCAGAGATCAAGACCATTTTGGCCAACATGGTGAAACCCCTGTCTACTAAAAATACAAAAATTAGCTGGGCGTGGTGGCGTGCACCTATCGTCTCAGCTACTTGGAGGCTGAGACAGGAGAATCACTTGAACTCAGGAGGCACAGGTTGCAGTGAGCCCAGATCACATGACTGCACACCAGCCTGACAACAGCGTAAGACTCCGTCTCAAAAAATAATAAATAAAAAAAACAAAAAAAAAAAAAAAAAAAGCTAGGAGATTTTGAGTGATTTCCAAGCTCTTGATGAGTGGACAGATGTTACCAGACCTGCTTATTGTTTATTTGAGGAATCAATGCTGAATTTGAAGTGATTGAAGAATTAGAATCTATGAATAGCCTGCTTGCAGCAAAAACTATAGGCAAGAATATTTTTATAGAAGTTGAGAGAACACAATATCAGTGCAACCTAAAGTGTAATCTGGTAAGATGTGTTACAAATGTCTTACAACTGATGGTGGTGTGTGGAGCGGAAAATAGCCTACTTGGATGCATTTCAAATCTTGTGAAAATGTAATGTGTTTAATGCCTATTGTTATCCATTGTATCATCAGTAGTACTTTGCAGAAAATATTTGAATTTATTATGCATTTTAAACTGGTGTGCCAATGGTAAACTTTATTTGCCCTTATGGACCTAAATATTGTCATTTCCGTGGTTTTTTGTCGGAAATAAAAAACTGAATATTCCATCCTGCCCTACTACACAGCAGTTTGATGGCTTAACAGTAAATTTTTTGAGCTCAGGACCAAGATTGGAATATTTCTGAATGAGAAAATTTACATCAGCTACAATTTTTGAGCAGAGAATATGTTTGGAAATTTAAGTTTTATGCAGACTTAACAATGTTTAATTCATTAAACATTGTTCAAAAACAATGTTTAATGAATTTAGCCTAAAACCAATGCTTATCTATGAAATTTATATTGTAAAATTATTTCAATAACTAGTGATTTTGAGTGGTTTCTTTTACTTTTCATGGTTTGATAGCATTTGTTGTCAGAAGTTAAAGCAAGGATCTTGACTCTATTCTCATACTTTGATATATTTTCTGACCTCAAACTGTGTAGTTCCAGAACTTCAGACATTGATGCAAATAAAAAGGAAATCTCCATGTTTCAAATTCATTTAACTGTACAATTGAGGAAATTTTGCTTTAACTTAGATTGGAAGTTATTAATCTGCAATATAATGACATGTTTTTAAAGGTAAATAAGTATGAGGAGAAGAATCCACTAGAATTCTATAAATGTCTTTCAAGCAATGAATATGCTCAACTTGTACTTGTGAATTAATATTTTCAAAGATGAAACACTTAAAATTTCATTGTAGATCATCATTATCAGATAAAGATTTATGGTCCGTTTTGAAAACAGGAAACACTAATTCTAAATCCCAGTTTAACAAAATGTAATCTCCCTGCAAAACAGTTCTACTACAAAAAAAAAAAAAGCACTCAGTTATTACTATTATATCAATGAAAAGTTTGTGAAAATTGCTTTTTCTCATTATGTAACTACATAATACACTGATTTTGCATCTTGGCCCACAACCCCTAAAGTATTTACTATCCAGGTCTTTACCAAAAATGTTTGCCAACCCCCAAGTAGTTTAGTGCATTGCTGAAATGAGTAGACGTGTCTGCTCAATCATAGGCCAAATGCATTCTTATGTTATTTTGTACTAAGAAAAATTATATAGCTTAAGGAAGATTCACTTTCTGATTTTAATTAATTATATGCATAAATGGTATTACTTTAATATTTTTTCCTCCTTTCAGGGCAATTCCACATCCTCGCGGTCATGCACATTTGGCAGCACTAGTCAACCATGACTGTAAGTAGTTTCTGACTTTTTTTCAGTAAAGATGTACTTGAAGAAAATACTTTGTCTAATACCTTTTTTAAAAAGTGCAGATGCAGTGTAGTTGAAAATGAGCTGTTCTGAAGACAGATATTCATCTAAAGCAAAAAATAAATTTTAAAATTGATTTAATCTGCATTTGTATTTGGTCATGGCTCAGAGTTGTTGAGGTTAGGGAGGAAAGCCTAGTGTACTTTATGTAACTTTGTACATATTTCTGCTAATTTTTGGGGATAATGAAAAGAATATATTTGCAGTTTATTTCCATTTGCATATTGAAATACGGATGTATAGACATGTGTAAAGTATTCATGATTGTCATAAGACTTACGTTTTTAAAGCCTACTTTAGAGGACAAAACAATCGCTTCTCGGCCTTTTGGCTAAGATCAAGTGTAGAGGACAAAACAAGTAATGGATTCCACAAAAAATTAGATTGGTCACATTTAGCAATAGTATGTATTAAAGATATATAAGATGAATTTTATTTGGCTGCATGGACATCATTCCAATTCTGACAATACAGTCCAGTTACTATATGATGATTTGGAAAAGGAGATAGATATTTTTGGCTTTTATTATTATAGTAATATTTTCTAGAAGTTAATTTGTATATAATTATAAAATTTGAGATACAGCATTTTGTCAGAATTTGTACCTTTAATTCATGTATATTTAAATTTATTTTTCTCAAAGTGAGGTGGCTTAAAATATTGTATTATTATCCCTGCATATTTTAAACATTTTCATTTGAGAATAGGTAAGGATGTAAACCAGCCTGTAGCATGTACTTTTGAATAATATCATTTCTCTGCTAAGTTATTTTTATTTTTTGCCTTTTAGCTTACAACTTTTCTCATAGAATAGATCATTTGTCTTTTGGAGAGCTTGTTCCAGCAATTATTAATCCTTTAGATGGAACTGAAAAAATTGCTATAGATCGTAAGTAATAATTACTGTTGGATTTTAGGTGTAGAAAATTGTGCTTAATATATATTTTTAATGTCTTCCTACCTGCTGTGTAAAGATAATCTTTAAGTGGTTAGTGAATGAGATATGTGTGGAGAGAATTTGTCCTAGTAGTGGATGAGATTTGAATGTTCAAAAATGAGCCATAGAACAGAATAAAGAAATTCAAATTAAAAGTTGAAGGAGTTAAAAGGCAGAAGGAGTAGAATTTAAACAGTAGAAATAGATGAAAGGTTAATACATTCATAGGGCATACTGCACTTTTTATATTCACCAAAGAATAAGAACAAAAGAAAAGTTCAACATTCTGAGACGAATAATTTTCTTTGTTTAGGTTCAGTTTTAAAATCATATTTATCATTTAAGAAACCTCTCTGGAGAATTTTACAAATATCAGAAACCTAGAGTTATTCTGGAATGAGTTGGTTATTAACATAGAAGGAGTACATTATAGCACAGATAACCTTTTTTAAATGTTCTTTTTAGCTTTCTGCTCCATTTAAAGTATCAAGTCTATCCAAACATGGAAATATTTTCTTAGTTTTTTAGCAAATTGTCTATTCTCATAGTTTCTGTGGGTTTTTGATTGCCTCTCTCTAAAATAGTCATATACCATGTTCTAGCTATTGGACATTTTAAGGACCTCTGAAGCTTATTTGGCTGGTAGGAATTCTATCCTTTGTAAAATTGTAATTAAGGATTTAGTTTTTTATTAGTTTAAGTAGATTTATTAATATTCTATTTAGATTTATTCATGTTCGTTACCTTTTAGCAGTGTTATAATCAGATATATTAAAGATGTTTAGAATTTAGAATACTGATTTACATTCATGAATATTTTATGTTCATTGGGAATGTTTCACTTCAGGAAACCTGAGTGTACTAAATTTAGAAATGTGTGGATAGAAACACTTTGAGATTTATAAGCTTTAGTCAGCATGATCTAATCTGTAATCTAAGCATATGTTCATTCTCCACTGAAATTCATTACATGTTGCCTGAGAGATGCTCATTTGGAAACATACTGGTCGAATGCTTTGTTTCAAGATGCTAAAATGAACTACACATTCTTGTACAGAAACTTTTCTAAATATAAACAAGTTAATTTTCAAAAAGCTGTTTTTAAGTATACTTCTTTCTAAATTCAGAGAAACTAAGGGGTATTTAGAGTCATATTCTGAAATGCCGTTAGGTGAGTATCACCAAAGCTTTAAAGCAGGTTGTATACTTTCCTACTTCATAATATATGTTTTATTGGGCTGCTTTTTCCAAATAAAAAAAAATCAAAGTTATATATCTGCCATGTCAGGTAACTATCCCTTTCCTGATGTTCTCCAAAAGTATTACAGAGGTTACTTAGCAATGAATATCTTTAATGCAGTGCAAATTTGGATAAACCAGATACTGTATCTGCCCCTCATAGAGCACACATTCCTATAAGGAATTAGATGTTTAGATAATAAGTGTTAGGACAAATGGCTATGAAGAAAATAAAGGAGATTGCCTGTGATATGAGAAAGGGCATGGAAGAGGCTGTGGTATTTGAAAAAAAAACTCTAGTGAAGTAAATAAATGAGCCAAGCAATGATCTTTTTGGACAGCATTGCAGGCAGCTTTATTATTAATGAAGCTTATGGAAATAAAACAACCTATATGTGCTTCCACAAACTGGATAACCTAACTGCATACTTCTCCTACCCTGCCAGCTTCTCAAATGGCAGGGATAGCTCACTTTCCTAATGGTAGAGAGGTGGATATATATGTCTTGAAGACAGAACTGTTTAAGAGAGAGAATGCCTATACTATCTAGTTGAGTGGCTTAGCCACACATGATTACTTTTTGCAGATGAATCATTCCTTCCATGAGAGAGAGAAGTGGAGAGGAAGGTCAAAGCTTTTGCTCTTTTTTGTTTGTTTGTTTGTTTGAGACAGTCTCACTTTGTCACCCAGGCTGGAGTGCAATGGCTCAATCTCGGCTCACTGCAACCTCCACCTCCTGAGTTCAAGCGATTCTCCTGCCTCAGCCTCCCGAGTAGCTGGGACTACAGGCACGTGCCACCACACCTGGCTAATCTTTTTTTTTCAGTAGAGATGGGGTTTCACTGTGTTAGCCAGGATGGTCTCGATCTCCTGAACTTGTGATACGCCTGCCTCGGCCTCCCAAAGTGCTGGGATTACAGGCATGAGCCACTGTGCCCAGCAGCTTTTACTCTTTTATGTACAAAGGGGTGCAAGCTTCTATTTAAATTTGGGAGAATTTTTTCTGCTTAAATTTAAGACCATGTTCCCCTTGAGTAAAATTGCCTGGGTTCAAGTTCTCACTCTGCCACTTAATAACCTGGACTTTGGCCTGTTTCTTAACATCCCTCTACTTGAGATGCTTCATCTCTAACAGAAAGAAAATAAAAAGATTTACTTGCTTATCTAGTTGAACCTATAGATAGGTGTGTCTAATTATAATTTTTCTAGAATTAAACCTAGAGAATTAACATGTTTTATGTGAATGGGTAATTGTTTACAATTAATTAGTAATTGATAATATACTGGTATTTAAAACTTGTGTCAAAGCTACAGATGTCTAATGACTTTATAAAAATGATCCTTTTGGCCAGGTACGGGCCTGTAATCTCAGCACTTTAAGTGGCCTAGGCGGATGGATCACCAGAGGTCAAGAGTTTGAGACCAGCCTAACTAACATGGAGAAACCCTGTCTCTAGTAAAAATACAAAATTAGCCAGGCATGGTGCACATGCCTGTAATCCCAGTTACTTGGGAGGCTGAGGCAGGAGAATCGCTTGAAACTGGGAGACAGGTTGTGGTGACCCGAGATGGTGCCATTGCACTCCAGAATGAGCAACCAGAGTGAAACTCCGTCTCAAAAAAAAAAAAGGTCCTTTTTATTACACGGTAACCACAGGCCATCATTGAGTAGTTTCTTTAGATACCTTCCTGCTGTAATATTGGTTTCTTTTATTTATTCAAAGGCTAGCTAATTTGATTTTGGTTTATTGTATATCTAAAGATACTAGCAGAAACTGAAAATGTGTCTTGTGGTGGTTATTCTCTTATAATTTTATGTTTAGTTTCTGTACTGTAAAGAAATGCTGGCTGGGCGCAGTGGCTCACACTTATAATCCCAGCACTTTGGGAGGCTGAGGCAGGAGGATCAGTTGAGCCCAGGAGTTTGAGACCAGCCTGGGCAACATGGCAAAACCCTGTCTCTACTAAAAATGAAAAAAATTACTGGGGCTTGGTGTTGTGCAGCATAGTTGCTGTGCAGGAGGCTGAGGTGGGAGGATTGCTGGAGCCCAGGAAGTTGAGGCTGCAGTGAGCTGTGATTGAGCCATTGCACTCCAGCCATGACAGAGTGAGACCCTATCTCAAAAAAAAAAAGGCTGCTTTTTCATGTTGATAAACAGATGATAATGATTATAAGGAATATTTAAGTCACTAGTTCATCTTTTTAAACATCTGTATTGCCCATCTTATGCTTATTGAGAACTTGTTTTGCCAAGTGTAAATAAATTGCTTTCATTGGTTTTTTCTTTTAAAATGTTTTATTTTTTTCTTAGATATTAAGTTGTATGTAACATTAAATTTGAAGTTAAATGTTTTTATTTTTTATTTTTTTGAGACAGGTTCTCGCTCTGTTGCCCAGGCTGGAGTGCAGTAGCACAATCATGGCTCACTGTAGCCTTGACTTCCTGGGCTCATGTGATCCTCCTACCTCAGCCTCCTGAGTAGCTGGGACCCAAAGGCATGTATCACTATGCCCAGCTAATTTTTAATTTTTTTTTTTGTAGTAATAGGGTCTGGCTCTCTTGACCAGACTGGTCTCAAACTCCTGGACTCAAGCAATCCCTCCCTCCTCAGCCTCCCAGAGTGCTGAGATTACAGGTGTGAGCACCACATCCAGCTAAATTTCAGGTTAAATGTATTTAATAGAAAAATATATTTGGCTGTAGTTTTGTTGCTACTGAATTGATAAAAAGTTTTGTTTTTATTCTAGACAACCAGATGTTCCAATATTTTATTACAGTTGTGCCAACAAAACTACATACATATAAAATATCAGCAGACACCCATCAGTTTTCTGTGACAGAGAGGGTAAGTTGAGTCCACCTGCTAAAATGATTTGGTGGTTTTTTTTAAAAAAAGCATTTTAAAGTCTCCTGCCTACAGAATAAGGTGGCGTTTTACTTGGTGTCTTCCCCCATTTAAAAATTTGTGAAAGTTTTGAAATGAATTCAAATTTTGTTTTAAATCAATAATGTCAGAAATTAGTTTTAATATATTCTAGAGCAATAAAAGTAGATGTTATAAAATCTGAAATGTTTTCTGTTGCATTAAGACTTAAAATTGTTAAACTGTGATGACATTAATTATTTTATTCTTAATGTCTTAATTTTGTAATATGTTTTCTCATAAATTGATATAAGCAGTTCCTAATCTGGCAGCAGATTCTTTGAATTCTATGTTATTTATTAATAAATGTACTGCCTTCTCTGGGAATACATGGTTATTATGGATTAGATAGTAAATTTAGAGGGTTTGCTTTCCTAAATTAATGCTTTGTATTCATCCGATTGAGATGAAGAATATTCCACTACCTCAGGGTGGTGTTATCTTGTAAATAGATACTGACAATGGTGAGCAAAGTGTTGCAATTGGACAGTTTCATAGAATTCTCATCTACTTTGGGATTATGTTTTCTTATTTTTTTGTTTGAATGGTGAATATTCAAATACTTCTATTCAGAAGAGTTCTAAGGTGAAATTTAAGTGCTTTAAAAAATGTTGCTTTCCTTTATATGGTGTTTTCTTTTACTAGCCTTATAACTCATGATGACCATGCCCTCAATAATTGTGGAATTTTTTTTTGTTCTTAGATTAGGTATTGAAGTTTTTAGGGGTGAAGTGTCATGTGTCTATACCTTTTAACTTGGTTTGGGGGATAATACAAGCCCATATAACTTCATATATATGTATAGGTATGTGTGTATATACACTCACACAAAGAAACTAGGTAAAGTTTACACATGAACATACTGTGCTTTTCAACATTTCTTTAAGGAGTGGGGCGATTCCATTTCTTACCTTTAAGATTGGCAAACACCTGAAAGACAGTACATAGAGCTGACAAGGCTTTGGGGAAAACAGGCAAACATGTAGTGCTTCGGGAATGCAAAATGGCATAATCTTTGTGGAAGGTAGTTTGGCAGTATCTGCAAAAGGACATATGCATTTACCCTTTGAGCCAGCAATCTCACTTTTAGAAATCTATTCTAGAGATACAGTGGCCAAAAATGTGTGTTTCAGGCTATTCATCGCATTGTTATATGTAATAGTAGAAGATTAAAAACAATCCAGATGCTTCATTACACAATGGATGAAGAGGCAATTGTTAAAAATCAAATGAGAATGATCTCTATGTACTAACATGAAATTATGTCTAGGATATATTTTTAAAATAACAAAAGCAAATATATATATATATATATATATATTAGAATCCCATGGCTTTGACCGTCGAAGGATGTGTTTATACTGATAGGGTAACTAAAATAGTTTATTAACTTAAAAAAGAGTGGAGTAACTGGAAATGGTAAAGTGCAGGATGGGGGTTGGGAGGGAGAGGGCTGACATTCATTAGTTCTGGAATCCAAAGTGAATCATTATTTGTCTTTCATTATATAGATGCCCTTATCCCTAAAACAGCTTCTACACTTAGAGGTAGTGACAAATATATTTATAACTCAGCATGATATTGAGCATTTTAGAGCTTTAAGACACAGTCATTATCAGAAACCTGATCAATATGGCTTATAAGGCTGTATTGTGCTAGTAATAGAAAAAGGGTTTTGTAATGCCCTACATAAAACTGTTTTAATTTCCCTCGGTAGTAGTTAGGCTCATTATTTGTGTTCCTAAAGCTTCCAGTTTAGTTATAGCATGAGGAACATGCCATATATTTGTAAGCTCTTGAGCTCAGTAGAAAACTTGTATCTAAGGTGACCTTTTTGAGAAAATAAGAAAGAATGATTCTGCTCTTTTGATAGTTTCAAAAGCTAACCATAAAAAGAATACAAAATAATTTGTCTCTGAAGAGCTTAGTCTGGTAGGACAGTTCATAAAGAAATGTGGATGTCCTTTTACAGTAGGGTTGCAGGGCTTAATATTGAATGTATGTAAGTAACCAGATGACATGAATTCTGTTTCTCTCTTCCTCCTATCTCTCCCCTACCTTTTAGGAACGTATCATTAACCATGCTGCAGGCAGCCATGGAGTCTCTGGGATATTTATGAAATATGATCTCAGTTCTCTTATGGTGACAGTTACTGAGGAGCATATGCCATTCTGGCAGTTTTTTGTAAGACTCTGTGGTATTGTTGGAGGAATCTTTTCAACAACAGGTTAACAACCATTTCTTTTTTGTCTAATAATTTCTAAAAGTGTTGCTTACATTTAAGATGCTGCTTCTTTAAGGGGCAAGAAATACATATTTTCATGTTTCGATATTTAAGTAGCTTTTTCTTTAATATGTAATTACCTAACTCCAAAATTATATTGACCAACCAGTAAACATAACTAATTTCATTGTTTTCAGTGATGTAAGGTAGATTATATAATGGTGAGTTAGAGATCCTGGGTGTTAACGTCAGATTGAATTAGAATTGAATGCAAGTTCTGCCATTTACTTAGTGGTATCCTGGAAGAGATCACTTACCTTTTTTGAGGTTTTCAAGTCAGTAAAAATAGCAATAATAATATCTAATTTGCAAGTGTGCTATAGGATTAAATATGAAAATGCCTAGAAGGCATTTAAGGTATTTTTAACTGTACAGTATGTAAAATCATGTGTTATAGTACTTTGAATTATGCAATACATGGAACTAGGTTTTTAATCAGTAATGTGTTTATGATTTTATCCTGAGATCCTAGAATTCACTAAGATTATTTGTTGAATTGTAATGATGAAAATTGGGAGTTAAGTATAATAGAAAAAAGAAGAAATAATTATTTCTTCACCTTCAGTCCCTATTCAGTATTAGATGGAGCTGGGTAGTTTATTATACTTAGAATCATATTTTTAAATGAATGAATAGCTTTTCTTAGGGAATTTTTCGTTAGTGCTTCATTTAAATCTATTTAAATTTTTGTTGTTGATATTTATTTTCCAAAATTGTATCAGTGTGTAAAAATCTTGAAAAGATTGTGTTCAGGCCAGGTGCAGTGGCTCACACCTATAATCCCAACACTTTGGGAGGCCAAGGCTGGCATATCAACTTGAGGCCAGGAGTTCCAGATCAGCCTGGCCAACATGGTGAAACCCCATGTCTACTGAAAATATAAAAAATTAACCAGGTGTAGTGGTACACGCCTGTAATCCCAGCTACTTGGGAGGCTGAGGCACAAGAATTGCTTGAGCTGGGAGGTGGAGGTTGCAGTGAGCCAAGATTGCAACACTGCACTCCAGCCTGGGCAACAGAGCAAGACTCTGTCTNAAAAAAAAAAAAAAAAAAACCCACAAAAGATTGATTGTACTCAGATCATGAATTATATGGCCTTGTGATTTTTTTAAAAAAGAAATCCATTTGTTTTAATATCTGTCCTGATTATTTTTAACCGTGGAAGTGAATAATGCAAACTGCCTTGTTTTCTTCCGTAATCTATTCCAGTATATTTATTCTTAAATAGAAGTTTAGGAAATAATTTATTAAAAGCATAAACTTATTATTTATTACAGGCATGTTACATGGAATTGGAAAATTTATAGTTGAAATAATTTGCTGTCGTTTCAGACTTGGATCCTATAAACCTGTCAATTCTGTAAGTGGTATAGTATACACAGTGCCGATCTGTAAATCTTAGAATCATTGTTGGGTCTATGGGCCAGGCATGGTGGCTCACACCGGTAATTCCAGCACTTTGGGAGGCCAAGGCGGGAGGATCACTTGAGCCCGGGAGTTCGAGACCAGCCAAGGCAACATAGTGAGAGCCCCATTTCTATAAAAGGTAGAAAAAAATTAGCTGGACAACGTGGTGCAAACCTGTAGTCCCAGCTACTTGGGAGGCTGAGGTGGGAGGATCACTTGAGCCCAGGAAGTTGAGGTTGCATTGAGCTGTGGTCACACCACTGCATTCCAGTCTGGGTGACAGAGCCAGACCCTTCCTCAAAAAAACCCAGATACATAGATAGGGTGATAGTAGCTTTTGGTGACTAGAAAGGATTGTCCAAAATAAAACTTTGTGTTTAGAGGAAAGAATGTAAGGAATAAAACTAATTCTTTGGTTTTTTCCCTCTCTTTCTCCTTAGGTTCCCTTTGAGGATGGCCACACAGACAACCACTTACCTCTTTTAGAAAATAATACACATTAACACCTCCCAAGTGAAGGAGAAAAACTTTTTGCCTGAGACATAAAACCTTTTTTTAATAATAAAATATTGTGCAATATATTCAAAGAAAAGAAAACACAAATAAGCAGGAAACATACTTGTTTTAAAAAAGAAAAAAAAAGGAAAAAAAGAACCCCAAACTGAAATTCTTATATTTGTTGTGTCTGTTACAAATGTCATAGAAGAAATAATGCAGCTAAACAGTGAAGAAGCCCAACTGGAGTGTTGCTTTGAAGATGACGCCTTCTTAAATTTTCACACAAAATGAGCAGTATCGAAATCAGACTTGGATTCTTGGTGATAAAAAGCCTGAAGGAAATAAGTGAAACCACATCTATCTATAGAAAAAAAAAAAAAAGTTGAGAAGTGCAAATGTTTGCATCCTTTTGTTTTTAAAAGATATGATATCAGAATAAAATGTGGAAAACATATGGAAAACTAGTCTAGACTTTAAAGAATTGTGATCAGGTCAAAATAAAAACAGGGACTAGTCCCTATGTTATAGCCATATTAATGTTAAGCCATATTGAGAAGACCATTTATCCACTAACTTGGTCTAAAAAAGTAACTGCTTTTCTTTGGACTCTGGTTATTGACTTTTTTAACTGATGAAGGTAGAGTCTTAGAAGATCAAGGTCAGTTCTTACAGGCGCAGGTATGTAGGTGTTATGTAACAGAGGTGTCATTCACAAATGGTATAGTAGTCTCTTACACAGGGAAAAGAAAGCACATTTTTTAAAAAGATGCCAAGTTTCCAAATCTAATCATTATATTATTGGTATATTTTGGGGGACATAGGGTGAGTTATTTAAAAGATCCACTACTGATAGTGAAAATTATCAGCTTGTAAAACATTAAGTAAGAGAAAAATAGAATATTTTATACATGTGGTAAGTGGGGAACAGGGTAACTTTTAAATGAAAGTGTAAGGCAAACTTTAAGCACAAGATATATCAGATCTGAGAGGTGCCATATTAATGTTCATTAAACTGTAAAACTGGATTATGAAAGAAGTATTTGCATTCAGAGTGTCCTGAATATGAATGATTCTGTATTAGATTGTTTTCTAACTTTCTTAACTATTTAAGGGTTGGTTCTAAATCTTCAGAATATAAAAGATTAAAAGTAGAGGGAGCTATCATACAGGTACTATTAAAAGCTGTATTTGGAGTATGTATGCCAGTATCAGTTTTCCTTTTGTAATACTGAATGATGGTAGAAGAATCATCAACCAATCCCCAAAGTTGAAATCATTTAGAGAAATGGGAAAACAAAATTCCAGGTAAATAACAAGACTGGAAGACTAAGTTACAGTTTTTCAAATGGATTTATTTTAAAGACAAAGTTATAAAAACAGGATGAACAATATAATGGGGAAAAGGAGAAATAGTGATGGGTCTATTTTGCATTAAAATTTATGCAGAATGACATTCTGCAGAAAATAAGCATCATTTTAAAAAATGATAATCGTTAACAGCCATGAAGTTAACTGATGAAAGTAGATGATACACTTTGAAAGATTTTGAATCCAGAAAATTCTAAATAGTAAATGAAGCTTCTCTAGGTTTTGATTTTTTTTTTCCTTCAGATTATTTCCAACAAAGTTGGGCTATAAACTAACGAAACATCTGTCAACAGGAATTTTAACAGGAAAGAATTAGAATTTTAGACTGTCCTTTAAGTATCCTTGTGAGAAAATTCAATCGAGTTTTGTTTTTTTTCTAAATGGGAGGGAAAACAATATTGATTTAGGATTATTTTAGAACAGTTAAGTATCTTTAAAAAGGATTTAAAAAATTCTTTTGATACTTATGATTTTTGTTTTCATATTTTCCAAATACCATATTAAAATTTTAATTTTAATGAGATCTCCATATTAAAATTTTAATGAGAATTTATTTAAAGCAAAATTCTGCTTTGCCATTGATTTACATTTTAAAGGTTGAAGGCTTCCATCTGAAACTCCGCAAATAGAGTCAGATTTTTGGCAATGGAAGTATTAAAATTCCAGCCAGCCATTTGGATGATGAAGTTTACCTGCCTATTAGGATTTGTTAGGAGTTTTTGGCCTCACCAACTGTTTTCTATTGCAGAGAGCACTTTATTCACCTGCCTATTGTGCAGCTTTCCCTCTGCGTGGAGGTGCCTCCAGCCAGGATACCCTACTTTATTACCCAATTCTCCTTTTCATTTTACAAGAGTATTCGTAATATCTATATGTATGTAGTATTCCAGATACATATGTAAAAGTCTGAGACCTCAAACTATATGAAATGGATTTTTTAAAAGTTACAGTTTGCATACATTGGCCTATAAAGAAGAGTAAATATTTAGGTGAATAATTCCCTTCTTCGGTATTTGTACACTTCAGACTACCTCTTAGGAAAAGCTTAACTTAGTATTACAAAATTACCTTTATTATTATTTTTTTTTTTTTTAGAAAGAGATGGGGCCTCTCGCTGTTGCCCAGGCTAAAGTGCAGTGGTGCGATCATAACTCACCGCATCCTGGAACTCATGGGTTAAAGCAATCCTCCTGCCTCAATCTGCTGAGTAGGTAGGACTACAGGCATGCACCAACAAACCTGGCTAGTTCTTTTTCATTTATATAGGTAGAGTCTTTCTGTGTTGCCCAGGCCGGACTCCAACTCCTGGACTCAAGTAATCCTCCCACCTTAGGCTGCTGCATTGCTGGGATTATAGGCATGAGCTACACTGCACCTGGTACTCAAATTACTTCTAGTTCTCAACTTAGATGATTAATATCACACTTTTCTCATATACATTTTATGATAGCATTGAATTTTTATAATTAAAAGTTTACTAATGCAAACAGGATTTACAGTCTTTAATACAATCTTAATTTTGGAATCCATAAAGGGATGACTAAGACCTAATTTTTTAACACTGTAAGAGAGATACACTGTGCATTCTATGTCCGGAGTTAGTAATTCAAGTACCAAAAAGTAATTTAATATGAAACTCCTTCAAAATTCAGAGTTTACACTTGAGTTCAAGATGCATATTTTTGATTGTTTAAAAGTTACTTAAACCTGAGCCTTAGGACCTTTAAAATTGCAGCATGTTTTTTAACCTAGTGTGTCTCCTGTTTTGAACTCTAGCTAACCTTCAGCAAGCCAAGGTGGTAGCTCTTTTCAACACTATCAAAATAGGTCACCAGTCATTTACTACCTTATAGTAAAATGTCTGAATCTATGCCCCTGTATCCCCCATATTGTGATGCAATCAAAGCATAGTTTTTTTCCACTTTCTGGAATATTTTTTTTTACTGATGAAGCCACTTCGCATTTAAGAGTAGAATGCAGACTGCCTTGGATTTTTTTTTTTTTTTGTCTTGAGAGAAAAGAGAACATAAAATATTTAGTGTTGCAAGCACAAACATTTGGACGCAACAAATGACAAATTATAAAGCATTTTTTTTTGTCTTTTTAATCCTAGGAGAAAATCCAAATGTATCCCCAAATAAGCCTCAGTTCCCATATTTAAACTTTTTTTCTCATAGGAAAACTACAGGAATTTTAAAATATCACTTTGTTACATTTGCTTTTTTTCTATATGGCACTAAATTGCTATATGATACAGGGTTTATTTTATATTTCTCAAAGATGAAAAAGTGATGAAAATTGAGTAGTTAATTCAAAATTACGTGTATAAGCCTGTGAACACGTAATTTCAAGCAGTGAAACATTTAAATAGTTTTGGCAAGTCCAAATATTTTATGTGGAGTTAGGTTAATTTTTCCAAATATATCTCGTTTATACTATTTTAATAATCTTAAGGAAAACTATTAAGGACAAGAAAGCATGAGGAAAAGTATACATTAATGAAAGCTACATACTAAAGCAGACCTTCAACAACAGCTCATAACTAATAAATGCTTTGTATTTTGTTTTCAAGCAGTTATGCAAATCAATTTGATGACTTCTTGTACTGTAGTTTACTGTCTTTAAGGTATTTTTCTGGAATTGACCCAAACTGCCATATCACATTTCCTGTCACTTTTGCAGTTCCAGGTTGGAATCAGTATTTGAAATAAAGTAGGGACAAGTCTAAAATATGTGTGTATCAGAAAAGGTGTTTGTGGCTACTTAAGTTTCTCTTGCCACAGTAGTATCTCCCTTTGCAGGGCACTACTGTCTCTCAAACCAGTTGCATCTGAAAACCAGCAATTGCTAGTCATAATTTTTTTAAAAATAGTTTTTAAGTGACCTAGGCAGTGAGCATTTTTCACACCTTTATGTGGGCATTTGAGAATCATTACTTCTTACTAGAGGCAGTTGCTTATGTTCCCAGACATTATTAGAATAGCAGTTGCTTATGTTCCCAGACAATATCAGAATCTAGAAAAGTAGCCATGTGGAAATTTACAAGTGACTCTTGTGAACTTGGAAAATTATTGATGTTTTTGGAAACTAGGCTGATCACTTTATGTTTATTGTAAGATAGCACGCTATTTGGGCATTATTAGACCAGTCTTTTTCTTGAGATACTAAGTTAATTAAATGAGGTGTTAAATGGAAGTAATGATGTTAGTTGAAAACTGCAATTGTTTTTCTGAATTGTGTGCCCATTTGCCTCAACTTTTTCTAGTATTAGTTGCCTCAGGCAATGATTCTTCAACTCTGTAATACTTGATACTGTATCAGGTATCTTGTGGGTGTAGAATATAGGGATTGCCAAAACTTCTTTTGAAGCAAAGGTACCTTATCTTTGTACTTTCCATCCTCGTTTTCCCTGAAGTAGAAGGTTCTTTCCCATTGCTTTGTTTATATTAGGCATTCAAATAATTGCTAATTTGTCTTGATGTGAAATTTACTACCTCAGAGTAAATGCTAGAGATTGTCTTTCATACAGATACCTGCTTTTCCTGCCCAATTATCACAAGAGAACTTTGTGTCATTTCTTTGATGCCACAAATAGAATACTCGTGTCAAAATAACCTTATTAATGGTGTTAGAAAAAGAAGTATTATATACCTATATGTTAATTTATATTCATCTGATAGTTATTCCTGTGGTATGATTTGGTGGAAAGAGTTCTTTGGAAGTGATTTCCTTTTTCCAGGGTGTGGTGCATTGGGTGTAAAGGAGAGAGAAGTGCTGCAATAGTCAGCAGTTAAAGACACAACACTAGAACAGGGGAAGAATTTTAATTCAAATTTTTATTTAATCAAAAGTCAAAATGTGAATACTTGATTCGTGGAGTTATTGAATTGGTGAAACATACAATCAAAAGTGAATTCTTAGAACTATATGTTTTAATCCAATTCCACTGAGCTATATCTTGATTTCATATTTTTGCCATATCTGTAGCTTGTATCTTACTTGATATAACTTGAAAGTATCATAGACATCTCACACTAAGGATCACCAGGTGTTTAGTTTCAGAGCCAGGTTATCTGCTATGAAAAGTAGTTCCCAGAATTTAAATGAGATTGGGGAAGATATTGCCCAGAAGAGTTCCTCCAAAATGCCCTTTATATGGACTTCAGGAGAATCTCAAGTAATACTGGGCTAGATACTGACCTAAGGCCTCATACACTTTAAATACCTCAATGTGCCTTTCTGAATATTACCCAGTTATTCCAGAAAGTGAGCATAAATATAACTGCCATTCTTTGTTAATATTTTATGCCTGTGTTGTTTTCAACTAGTTGTGTAGTGACTAATTTTAGTTGTTTAGGTCCTAAATACTATATATAAATAATATTCCATGTTTTTAACATGAAGAAATGCTGCAATCCAACATATACTCATCTCTCAAGTATGAGAAAAGTTGGAGTAGCAGTTACATGATTACTATAGGAATTGGGGAATATATATAGTTTTTACTAATTAGTTTGCATTATACACAAAATATTTTTAAGAAAACAACCTATTTTCTAGACTTAGAGTCACTTAGTGAAGTCTATTCACTTTTCCGCTGTGCGTTGTACAGTTAACATTGTGCAACTGGAATGATCAAGATACTAGTAAATCCTTTGGTGATCACATAAGTGTAATCTTCCCCACTTTATACAAGAAGACTAAAGCTACCGTTTAAAAGTTTATTTGAAATTTTGTTTTGCTCAGTGGCAAAGATCAAATGGGACCATCCCTCTCCCTGTTAACCACTCTAACTGAGGCCTGAGTGGAAAAAGCTTAAATATAAAGAGTTTGACCACTTTGAGGAGAAGGGGACTCTTGAAAGAAGGTTACCAGGAAAATTGGGGTTTAAAAAGACTTAGAAATAATAGTTGTCAAATTCAAATTTCGGAAGCTATTAATTTTGACTTAAAAGCATAATACACTAGAGTCCTCAATGCAAGTGTGCTTAATCCATCACTCTGTACATATTTATTTACACTTCTTGTTCCTTTTTAAGTCTAAGAAGTAAATATAGTTAAGAAAAATGTTAAGTATGAACCTGCTTTTCTAATTCCCCCACCCCTCAACCAGGTCTCCAAGGTTTAACATGGAAAGGAAAGAGAGACATTTTCAGTGAGGAATTATTTTTCTTACTGCATTTTTTAGGACACTGAGACCATTCTTCTTCTACTCATCTTGATTTTAAATTGTTCTGTTGGGTACCCCAGAATGGTTCCAAGGTTAGTACTGTTTGAGCTCATTTCAGCTTCTGCCATGCATCTTTCCATATTTACTGAGTTTAAATGAATCTTCTCAGGGAGAAAAAAAAGCTAAATATAGAAAAGTGGGAGTACTTTCATTTTAATACGCAAGGGCATAAAATAGAATGTTAGGAAACAATGTGGGTTTGTTTTCCCTAAAATATATATGATTATGGGCTAGTTTACAACTTTCCTTCTCTCACTGAAATAAAAATATATAGTTAAGGAATAGGGACAAATACATGACAGCATATGTGACATCTGACAATTTGGGCATATTCCTTGCTACTTTCTAATCTTGAGAATCACAGTTTGCTGTTTTAGAGGTATCTGAGAGGTTCCAGATAAAAGCGATGACAACATGTTCTTAAACCTTGAGCGTGCTGGATGCCCTAAAGTAGGAGAGGAATTTATAACAGAAGCTTACAATGAAGAACCAGACATTCCGAGCCATCTGAGATCTTGCAATGAGAAGGCGCCAGGCGATAAGGAAGAGGGCAGTATTAAAGAGGTAGTGAATATTTCGGAGCCTAGGGAACAGACAGACATAACCAAAATTAAAATTACCAGATAGCCAACCACGTTATCGGAAGATAAATATGTGTTTTCCTGGCTAAGACTGGCCAGTATCTATGAAGTGCTCAGAGTATGTGGCATAACTTGGCCTTTTGGTTTTTGCATCTCATTTCTACAGCATTCTTGCTGAACAGTCAGATTTCTACCATATTTCCCTAACTACTTTCTCTTGCAGCTCTCTCTATTTGAAGCTATTTACAAGCATGACTAGCATAATCTTGTAAATATACTTTGATCATGTTAGCACATCATAAATCTTCACTGGTTCTTGTTCATTAAAAGGTAAATTCTAAAGTTCTTAGCTTGCTATTCAAGGTTCTTTCTTCCTGTTTTGCAAGCTACTTTTCCATCCTTACCATCTCTGCACTACAGATCCCCTGCTTCTACCAGGATTATACCAGAGTGCTAGAAGTCTTTGTCCCTCAGGAATCATGACCAAAAGAAATTTAAGAAAGTTGAAAAAACTGAAGAGTGACTTTTTTTCTAGGTTAAATACCATAATTAGGTCCCTGCCTGTTGGGTATTTATATCCCATTATGACAGAGTGTGGTAGTAGAAACAAACTTGAGTTCAAATCTGGCGCCTAGACTTACTGTGCATTACCATGGACAAGTTATTTGCTGTGTTTAAACCTAAATATCTGTTTGATAAAAATGGGATAACAAAAGTAATACCTGTTTCATAGAGGTGTGGTAAAGTCTAAATGAAACTTTGTTACAGGGCAGAGTATAGAGTACAGGACCTGTCATGTAGTAAATGCTCAAGAAATGTTCATTATTCTTCTCTGCACAAATGGTATGTCTGGTATAAAATTGGATGCACAGTAGGTGCTCAATAAATATTAGCTGACTGATTATACTTACCTTTTTAAGTGTTGCTTTGCTTCTGGAATCCCAGCCATATCCTCTTTCAACAAGTATTTTTTAACTCCCAAAACATAATTTTCAATGTATTCCAACCAGTTCAACTGGCGCACATCAAAGTTGAATACCTGAGAGACAAGAGACATGATAGATTGCCAGAACCGCAGTGCCAGACAGTCACTTTGTCCACTTGAGGTTTCTTTTACATAGATGAGTGATATTCAACCTGGGAGACATAGGTTGAACCTCTCCAAAGGAGAGATTATTTGAGCTGTGATTTCAAAGGTACTGTAATATGGATTACTATTTACATAGGAATATTTAAACATGGATCAAGCACAAACACTTTATTTCTTCTAAGGGAGATTTAAAGGAAATAGTATTACATAGCTTGAAAGCTTATGGCTGGCTTGGTATATATCTCAACTAATCAAGGAGTAATTATTTTAAAGAGTGATGGAATAATATGTTAGTGACCAAAACACCAATGATGCAGCTTTCCCTTTCTTCTTAGATTTGGGTGTTATCCCCTCGTCCTGCCGTCCTTTCCTACAGAATTACCACTTCATTACACAGATTAAACTTAGGGAAGCAAAGCCTTAAGGAGTAAGTTAGCAGAATTTATATTTAAAAAGAGAGTGACTGGTAGTGGAAGAAAAAAGGAGTGATTTTTGTGAATTTCAGAATATGCAAAGATTTTAGGACTTATCCTTTGTTACTGTCAAGAAGTTAAAGAAATAAGTGGTGCTGATGCTAAGGAATTAAACTGAAGGCCTGTCTTGAGAAGTAAAAGTCTGAACTGTTGTAGAGAAATACTATAGGAAGGAAGATTGATGACACAGCACTGATGGAGGGAAGTCTGAGAGGAGGCAGAGTGCACAGGTGTAGGGATTAGCTTTAGCAAGTTAAGGAAGGAACTGTAGCTGGGAGAGGCAGAACAATTTTGACTGGACAAGAATAGTGGATGATAGAGTTTATGAACAAATAAAATCATTATTTTTCATTGAAGTCATATACTGTGGCAGATAAGGGAAGAACACAGCTACCCAGAGGTACTGAGGGTTTGTAGAAATGGTAACTACCAAGGAGTGAGAAAACGATTGAAGTGCAGTAGATAAAACATGTTGGCAGATCAGCAGTAAAGATTTAACCAAAGTCCAAAAACCTATGTTTCTTACTTACATTAAATTTGTTTCCTATGGTGGTGTTGATAGCATTGACTGATTTTCTTAAAAAACAAAGCAAAACAAAATCTGTGTCTATAACCAAAATGTCCTTTATTCATCCATCAGCTTTCCAAATCAAATAATTCTAAATTCCAAGTGAGAAGCATTTTCCTGTTGCTTACGTCAGTGCAATACTTACTCTCTGGTCTTCAGGACTCAGCTCAGACATCAGCATTTCTGTATTGTATGTGCTCCATTCCCAACTCCGGTTGATGAAATACTCCATCATGGAAACAGTTCTTAAAAGCCGATTCATGACCTTTGTCATCCTGAGATAACCATCAGATAGAAGTAAATACCAGCACACCACAGATGGCTGCTTCCCTGTCACTCTACAGAGATGTATGAGAAATTATTTTTAACAAAATGCAAAAATTATCCCTGTCTCTTTCTCCCATTCTTCATTAAAATTTGTATTCTTTTTTCCCGCTTTCACATTAACTCTCTGTTGATTCAACAGAAAAGGAAAAGGGCTGGACCTAAAGGTGCTTGTTTGATTCCACATTTAATACTACCACACTCCTCTTTCTCTTTTCTAACACCTATTTCTCAAGAATAGCAAACCTATTTTAAAAGTTAGCCAACTATTCAGCTTCAACGACATACTGTTCATTTTTTGAATTCTGTTGTAGACAATTACAAAACTTATTTCTCATCTTTTATTTTTTTTGTGAGACAGGGTCTTACTGTGTTGCCCAGGCTGGAGCACAGTGGGGCCCAGCTAATTTTTTGTATTTTTTGTAAACAGCGTTTTGCCATGTTGCCCAGGTTGGTCTTGAACTTCTGGGCTCAAGGGAGCCACCTGCCTTGGCCTCCCAAAGTGCTGGGATTATAGGCGTGAGCCATTACACTTGGCCTTATTTCTCATCTTTATTGTACGTTCTTGTATTTTTAAAAATTGATAGGATCTGAGGCCTTAGTATATAACTTTTGGGCAGAAGTGTAGACTATAATATTGTTTGGTGAACCAAAGCAGTTGTCAGTCATAGTGGAGATTTAAAAAGATAAAATAACTTCATGTTGATAACCTATTCTGTATTAGGCACAGCCCCATACTTTTACAAAGTATTCCCTCTGCTAATTTCGATATCATCTTGTTAGGTAAGTCTGCAGTTTTAGAAATGAGTAACATGAGCTTAAGATAAAGTGTCAAAGTCAAATTCCAACCCAGTTTTAACTGACCTCAAAAAACCTGTGCTGTGTATTCTCACTACCCCTGTAAACCATTACGCAAGATGAACCTCACTGTCCAATCTCGCGGTCAGGACTTGGACCAGATCATCTTTGTGCACCTCCCAACTTTAAAACAATTTACAAAAACTTTCATATATAATTTTACTTGATCCTAACAATATGGCTGATAGAGAGTCAGGATTTGTATTATGCATCCCCATTTTACAGGGAGGTTGTGCTCAAGGTCCCATAGCTAATGGCCCACCTAGGTCTTTTAGCTACAAGTCACCTTTGGCCTGTAAACCACTTGATTTTTAGTTAACCCCATCTTGATAATAGTGATTACTGTAGTTGACTCAGTAATTACCTATGATGCTGTTGTGGGGTTTGGGCTTACTTCTCGTAAAAGATAATGCCCATGAACCTAATGAGTCATAAGATATTTCTCTCACTGTATTATAGGAGATTTCTTAGGCATGAGGTAGACATCATTGTGGCTTGATACAAGCACCTTAATAGGGTTCCATTTTAAAAATATGAATGAATGTAAGATATATTGGTTTGTACCCCTCATACACTGTTGTGACAGTGCCAATTGACAGTCTTCCTTTAGGGAGGATCACCTGGCAGTAGTCACAAAATCCACATACCCTTTAATCCAGCAGCCTCACTCCTCAGCATCCTCTCCTGAACACAGAGGTACATTCTACAAAGGGGCAGGCACCATGATATTCATTGCCCCGTTGTTTACAGTAAAAAAAAAAAAAAAAAAAAAAAAAAAAAAACAAGCTTTTTTAAAAAAAAAAAAAAAAAAAAAAAAAAAAAAAACACTGGGCAGAATGACTTAGATTTTCGTGGAAAATTAGTGGAAAAAGTTGTTAAATACACGTGACTGATTTATATACACATACGCCCCTACTGCAAAGCAAACTATGTCCATATATGCAATATGTCGATATATGGATATAAAAGCATAGAAGAGTATATATAAGCACATCTGGAGAAGGAAAAGGTCTAGAAGGATTTTAGCTTTTTCTGCCATAAAGATTATTGCTAAAATACATACCACACAACAAACCAACAAATATTACTGTTTGACTTCTCACAAAATACATTTGGATTTTTGTTGTGTCTCTTCCTTCTGTGTTTGTCTTTTTTCCTAACTGAACTTTATTCTTTATCCAGGCCGCCTTCTAATCCTGACATATTTTAAAACCTTAGCATTTCTACCTACAATATTTGTTTTGTTTTTCTTTTTCTATCTTTATTTAGTAAGCCTCATACAAATATTTTCCGTATAATCACAATGTTTCCTTTTCACCTTGCTCAAGAACTTGAGTTATGAGCTCCAAATGAGGTCTCTAAAAATTTAGATAAATTCTACACTAAGTTTTAGTCATTTGCATTGCTAATAAAGATGATAATTAAATGCAATGAAGAAGGCTTCCTCCCTTATCAAGCGGCTAGCACAGAGGTTCATACTTCTGATTCTTGATCACAAAAATTGCCTTAGGCAATTATAATAATGATTCCTCTGACATAATATTATTCCAGCGAGACAGATAAAGGGATATATCCTATGCCACACAGCTAGGTGGTGACAGCTGCCTTCACATCAGCATACTGTATTCCCTCTAATTTCTTCACTCATCTCTAGGTGGCAGTAAATCTGGTTCCAAATACTGACTTTGAGACAGCTTTCCCCACATCCTTCCTGTCACTTCCTTTGAGACTACTTCAGATTCTTTCCTTAGCTTCTATTTCCCCATTTGTAAAATTGGGATGATGAAAATATCTTCCCTGGGTAGCTGTGACAATGAAAAAGGGACCATCATGCATCATCCTTAGCCCCATGATTGCCACAGTAAGCTCCCAGTCAGTAAGGTTGGCCATCATTATTGTATATTTAAGATTACCTACCTATTCGGAAAACCCTAGTGATAGAGTCTCAGTTGCTTTTCTTTTAGTGTGAATGATTACTTGCTGAATTCATCAAGCAAGTTCTTTAACATTTACCTTCCTTTATTGTGCTGGAGCATTTTTAATGTCTTTTGTGGCTTCTCACTATGACTGCTTGGTTTGTTCAAAACTTATACAGGTTGAGTATCCTTCATCTGAAATGCTTGGGCCAGAAATGTTTTCGGTTTTGTTTTCAGATTTTAGAATATTTGCATATATGTAATGAGATGTCTTGGGATGGGACCCATGTCTAAAGGGAAAACTCATTTCTATTTCATACACACTTAGCCATATACACATAGCCTCAAGGTAATCTTATACTTTAAATGATTTTATGCATGAAACAGTTTTGAATGTATTTTGACTGTGACCCATCACATGAGGTTAAGGTGTGTGGAATTTTCCACTTGTGGCATCATATCAGCACTCAAAATATTTTGGATTTTGGAGAATTTCAGATTTTGGATTTTCAGATTAGGTGTGTTCAATCCATATATATGGGTAAGAGTCAATTGTCTCCTTTAATCCTCCACTGAAGGAAGCACTAAAGATTTGAGGGCCTTAATCTCCCATACAGTGACACTCTCAGAGCCATTGACTCAGCTTCTCACCTGGGCTTCCTTCCAGTGAGCCGCAGATAGAAGTCATAGATGATGGCAGGGGCCCGGTGGCTGACTGCATTCCTGTACTGGGTTGTGAAGTTGTTGGTGGTAAAATCAGCATATGGCCTCCTGAAAGCTCTCTCAAGTGGGATTTTTTCAAAGGTTGCCAAGACTTGGAAACCTAGGGAAAAAAGAGAGTAAGTGCTAGAGGAGAATATAGGCCCATCATAGTGGAAGGCATTTCTAATGGGTCAAAATAATAAAGAAGGATTTGCTGTGTAGAGTCAAGAATCAATGTGGGCAAGTGGTTCCCTGCAAACCGAAACAATGTGAATGGGTTGAGAACTGGATCCTTTATTTGAAACATTTACTCTAAAACAAATTATTGGGGAAAGACTTGTAGTCAATACAAGGAGGTACTGTTCAGAAAAATGTAAATCTGCATTTAATTCTAAGGTTATCTAGTCTATTCTGAAAGCCCCAAGACAGAGGCTAGAGACCTTATTTCCCTGGCTGGACCATTACTTTTAGAACCATTTGGAAAGTTTCTTAACATTTATTTGAACCTTTATTAAAGGTTTAAGTCAAAGATTCTAAAGGTAAGATTTCCTTGTGTTAATTTACTTTAATACTTCTCTGGGAATATGTTAGACTCAATTGTCCACTCTGGTATCCAGGGTTTTATTCCTAATAGTATTTTTCTTTTTATATTATTACTTTGATTAGGCTTAAATGTACATTTGTGAGTTCAGTAGTTCTTTCCAAAAGATACTCATTTGAATTCAATTTTATTTAATGTATGTAGGTTTTTTTCAAAGCATATGCCTAAAAATTTATCTGAAAATATAGATCCTACATAGAGAAGAGTCGCAAGAATCACGATCATCTGGTCCACAGGCACTTATAAAAACATACGTGGCATTATTAAAACATTTGGTTATGTGCATGACCAAAAGCTATGCACAGGTTGATAGCCTAAGAGATTCTGATGTCAACGCTGACATTCTGATCTATATATCAATATAACCTGTTCAACATTTCCCTAGGGATGTGTAATAGACGTTCACATTTAACAGCTCTAAAATTGGCCTCCTGATATTCCCACTACCAACCACCCCCTTCCCAATACATATACAAACTTGTTTCTTCTTCAATCTTATACCTCTAACCAAATGTTAATTCAATTTTTATAGTAGTTCAGGCAAAATCTTTAGGGTCATCCTTGGTTCTTCTCTTTCTTTAACAACTCACACACAATTGAACAAAATCTATCAGCTCAGTGTTTGAAAAATACTGAGAATCATAATTTCCACCTGCTGTCTCTCTGATCCAAACCCCTAATGTAGCCTGGAGTGTCTCAGTACTGTCCTAAGTGGTCTCTGCCACTACCTTTGCACCCCTATAGTCTGACCTCCATGTAGCAGAGTGATTCCTGTAAAATGTAACTCAGAGTATATTATAGGTATTTCTCCATTCAGAGCCCTTCAGTGGAATCACATCTCATTAGGGGCAACGCCATGGTCTAAAAGGTCTTGCACTATCTGTATCCTCACTCTCTGTGCCCACCACTCTGATTTTGTCTCCTACCATTCTCCCTGTCGGTGCTTCCCCTGTAGCCACACTGGCCTCCTTGCCGCCCTTGAATATGATTAAAGAGCTGTAGCATTTATCGTTTCTTCACCTTGGAATACTTCCTCCACATGTCCCTCCAATCTGCCCCCTCACTTCTTTCAGGTCTCAGCTAAGATGACACCTTATCAGAGAGACTTTCCTTGGCCATCACATAAAATAGCAGCCTTCCCACATCACTATTTACTTCTTTAGTCTGTTTTATTTTTCTGCAATCACTCAACCATATCTGATGTATATTTCTCCTTTCTAAGATTTATATACCATAACAAAATTATGTCTGTTTTGTTTCAACCTATATAGTACCTTGAAAAGTGGTTGGCAGGTAATCAGCACCCAAGAAATATGTTTTTGACAAATAAATAGCAACATACAATTACTTTCCATTTCCTAAATCTATACCAATCCTTCCATTAGTCATTACAAATATATTTATTAAGCATTTAACATTTGCCAGGCACTGTGGTAGGTGCCGAGGTAAAAAATATATATATGATATATTCCCTGTCTATTAAAGAATTGGCAATCTGGTAGGAGATGTGGACAATTCGGAATTACATATTTTGCCTGAGTATTCTGCTAGAGATCAGTACAGTGTGCTCTAGAGGAAGATAAAAGAAGCATCTAGCTCTGTCTGGGTGCCAGGAAGGGGATGGGTGAGGCTGGGTTAGTAAAGGTTTTCTGAGTGAGCTGTCCAAATGGTAATAGCAAGAATTTACTGAAATGTCCACCATTCTAATCACTGTGCTTAGCACTTTATCTTATTAAACCCTCCCAAGAGCTCCTTGGAATAGAATAATTATTATTTTCATTGACAGAAAAGAAGTTGATCTATAGGGAGAAACTGAGTGATGTTTTCAAGTTGATATAACTAGTAAGTAGTGGAGTCTACTAAATGGTAGGACCCATACCAGCATATAATATTTATGTGGGCATGGATTTCTGTTTAGTGATATATCCTCAGAACGAGAATAATGCCTATTTAATAAATACAGGAGTGAATGAATGCGGTATGATTTGAATCCAAGTCTGTAAGATCTTAACGCCCAAGACTTTTAACCATTAAGCTACTATCTTTCCAATCTGAAGACAAGTAGAAACTAATGCACATGAAGAAAATTCAATTTGGCAATTGAAAACTGTACTTCTAAATCCTCATAGGTCAAAGAAGGATTTAAATGAAAAATGGTTAATGCTTAGAGAGGAATGATAACATAAACATTATACAACAAAATGTGTGGGATACAGCCAAAGTGTCATTTCAGGGAAAAATAAAGCCATAAATGCATGTATTAGAAAAGCTGCATATTTGTGAGCTATGTTTCTAAGTTAAAGAGAAGAAAAAAAAATAAAACAAGAGGAAGGGGAAAATAGAGATAAGGCAATACATCAATGCAACAGAAAAACAATGCAACATAATAAGAGTCGATAAAGCCAGAAGAAATTGGTTCTTTGAAAAAAAAATAATAAACCCTCCAGACACACAAATATTATGAATTAAAAGAGAAACACAATTACAGATACAGTTTAGGACAAAAATATTAATATGAAAAATTTTATGTGAATATATTTTAAAACAAATTCTTAGAAAAAGAGATAAGTAAAATTTACTAAAACTGATTCCAGCAGAAACTGAAAGCCTGCAAAATTCTTTAACTATTGAAGAAATTGAAGCAATAAAAAATCCTCTCACAAAATTAGAAAGATAATTTATAGGTAATTTTACCAAGTTCCAAGGAATAGATTGCTCCAATATTATACAAATACTTCCAGAGAATTGAAAAAACAAGGGAAACATATTATTAGCAAACTGAATTAAACAAAATATAAAAAAGATAACATGGTATGACCAACTTGGGTTTATCCTAAACATGGCAGGATAGTTTAAAATTTGAAGCCTTCTGCCGAAAATTAGCAGCAAGACAACAATATGTACTATTGCCATTTTTATTCACCATTGTATTAGAAGTTCAACAAGAGATATAAAGACTTAAGGCTTGAAAAGATATGAGTAATACTCATATTTTTGCAGATTAAGTAACTGTCTACGTAGAAAACCAAGAGGAAATTATGTACAGTTTCTAGCAATAAGTTTAGCAAGATGGCTAAAGAGTCAATATGTGAAAATCAACTGCATTTGACACTGTTCACAAAAAATTATAAAACATGTTTTTACATAAAACATTTAAATTAGTAAAAAAAAATGTGTAAATTACCTAGGCCCTAGGTATAAATCTGATAAAAGATGCTTAAGACCTGTATGCAGGAGATTAAAAACTCTTCTCAAGGGACATTAATGGAGACAATTCTATGGAGAGATAGCCCATGTTCACCCACCCAGCTGTCTATCACTCCTTGTAATGTCACCTAAGGCTATGTATGTTCAACATCCTATCACGTCGCTACTGCTACTAATAGGAAGCCCTCCTAAGAGCCCTGATAGGAAACACAAATGAGTTCAATTTGTATGCAACACCAAATTAATTAGTAATAGCTTCCAGATGCTGTATTAGATGGGAATCTAGAACAGAGCCTTGACACAGGGAGAAACAATGTAGTATCAGCCAAAAATGTTTGCTATATGTGTAAGAGGAGTAGAGGAAAATACCTGTATGCCAAGTGTTTTTCATTCTTGGAAAAGCATTTTTCAATTCAAAGCCTATTATAAATGAGCCATAGCCTCTAGCTGCTCTGCAATAGAACACTCAGTGAAGTACTATGGCTTACCATTGGAATGTGTAAGGAATAGTGTTAACCTATGTAACAGGGAAAGAAGGGGTGCATTAGTAAGTACTAAGAAATCCTACAGAATAGCCAAACTCCCTGCTTTTACCTTCTACCATAATTAGATGTTTAAGTTGTACTCAAATCTATTTCCATGGTTTTTATATATTGAACAGATCCAATCCTTTACATTCAGACAAATCAATCATGTGTACAGTAAAGGATTTCTCAAAGTGGGTTTCAACAAGCATCAAGAATCATCTAGATGCTTATTAAAAATATGGTTTCCTTAGCAACGCCCAAAACCTTGGTCCCAGGGTTCAAGGAATCTGGATGTTATTTTTATTTCTCCCATAGTGATTCCTATTCACTTTTACAAATCACTAGTAGGATGGTTACTGCACACCCAAGAGAGACAAGCTGCATAAATTAATGATCAGTATGACAGACTTAATAACAAAGGAATAACATCACCTGACTTTTCTAAATCTCATTGATCACTGATCATATTGCATTCTCAGTGACATTATCAAGAAGGGAAGGGGTGTGTGTAGGAGCTGCTGCTCCAGCAGGGAGGAGTATTTCCGTATTTTATCACTGACATTCTTTATAACTGCCAACTTTTGCTTTGTTTCATCATTGTTTTTTAAATCTCTATGGACCCCTTACTGCTTATGATCATGTATATGTTCCCACTGACTCCTTTCCTTGGTAACCACAGTACATTCTAGTTAACCACCACACATTTACAATTTATCATTATTTTGTCTTTTACTTACTTTTTGTCTTTCTCCCCGTGTAGGCTCTAAGCTCCATGACACACTGTCAATTTTTTCTCTGTGTCAGACACTAGTAATTATGCAGTTACATGGCTATAGGTACTTACCCATTTTGCCCCAATTGCAGGGATTGAGGTTACCAGATGTACAGTGGTAGACTAACGTTGACTTAGGTCTGAAAAACGAAATAAAAATTAGATAAATACAACAAAATGGAAAACTAATGAAATAAAAATAAGGAAGAAATAATATTTAGACAGAGTGGCTTCAATAATTCATCTGATGCAAGGCTTCCATCTTTTGTTCTTTCTCTGGGTTAATAAGAAAAATGGAAGAAGACTAGGAAAAGCGTGTGTGTGTGTGTGTCTGTGGGTGTGTGTGAGAGAGAGATGTTAGGAGTGGCATACTATGGAGCACATATGTGTGAGTTCACATAAAAAAATTTAATTCTGTTTACCATTTACTAACACAGCCAAATAGATGAACAACCTATGTTTTTAATCTTTATACCAGGAAGCTTCCCCACACTTAGTGTTTCAACTTTTGGCATTTACCAGAGTTCAATTAAAAAAAAAATTCTCTCATTTCATCAACTTCTATCTCCTTTGCGCTAAAAAAGAAAGCTGAATTTTAGACTACTGAATAGAAAGAAAAGCCTTTTGGTTATTAAGAATGTTATGGTTAAGTGATTTAAAGGTTTTATTACTTTTGAGCAGCCAAGTACCAAACTGTATTTATAAAACAACTCAATGCATATATGATGGCATATTAGGAACTCTACAAAATATTGAAACAAACACTGCCTCACCTTTGGGATCTTGTACAGTGAAATGCCTATATTTGGAAAATGTGCCTAATGTATTCACCCTCCCACTCATGAAATCTTTGAAAGCCCACTTTAGCATCCACACCTGTGAACTGCAGTATACCATCCTACAGCTAGCGTGAGATTGACAACTGTATCAACCGGAATTAAGTCTGCCACAGCCATTGGAGTAGCTTTTATGGCCCGAAGAAACCCTTTCCCAGCCTGCATAAGAAAAAGAACACAAAATATTAAACCAGGTCTTAAGTAATAGCTGGGGCTAAGGTTTGTATCATCAAACTGATTATACTAGTGCAGTAAGTGAAAACAGCTAATCTTGATCCACTGCTTACCGGGTTCTTATGCTAAGTCTGACTTCCTCAGCCCATCCTACCTTCTCAGCCAAGTGCAACTCCAGCATATCCATGAACTACTAGTTTTCCTCAGGTTAATTTAGGGAATAAATTTCCTCAAGTTTGTGAGAGGTTAAACTCAGTTAATTCACAAACACCAATAATAAACTTTCATATCTAAAAATCTAATTCATGATATGTTAAGAATTAAGATTATACAAATTTCCCATTAATTTTCTTATTACTATTTGTTTACCATTTCCTTGATTTTGTTTTCTCCTAGGGTTTATTAACTTACAAGCAATAGTAGGCACTAAAATTTAAGAAACATTTATTTGAAAAAAATAAAAACTTTTTTGGGTCTTGGAAAAATTGCCTTATTATTTACTTTTTATTCAGTATCTTAGTTCACCTCACAGATCACTGATGTTATATAGATGTAAGAATTGGGAATTATTCGTGTTACTAGTTTGTTGAGTTTATGAAATTGATTCTTTTTACTTTGCATGTTTCCAACATTGATTTGCAATGATTAACGCTTCCTTATATTACTCAATTCTGTTTTCTTATAACTAGCACCCCTTCTTTCAGACATAAGAAACCAATTTAGAACGCTTTAGAAGATGTAAATAAATATTCAGCTTTGCATATAATGAAACCCACTTTGGGATCATGTTGAAATAATGATGTCATAAGTCACCAAACGTTCACCCCAACTGAACTTTTTTAGAAGAAAGAGTTGAAGATGGGTGGGATACAGAAAGAAAGGGGCTGCTAGAAAAATCAGAAATTAGAAGGAAGGTCTTCATCACTGTCATAATTCACTGTCTCATATTTGTATTGTAATTCATGTTGAACATAGTTCTGAGAGGAACAGAGACAGATTCTGAAGCGCAGTCTGAATCCCTAATAAGATTTAAACTCATTTAGATCCTTGATTTCCTATTCATGGTACAAAAGAGAGAAGTTGGTTGAGTCCCTAAGTGCTTCAGTGATAGCCATGAAGCCCCACAGCTCGGCTGGGTCAATCTGGACTCCAGGGAGATGCTCATTGAGGGCTGCTTACCTAGAAGAGCCACTTTTCTCCTTGTAAGAGATTATTCAAAAGTGTTGCCTATATTCACGGATTTTTTGTATTTGAAAAATTTGCTCCAATTGGTAGTTGTCTTTCTGGTATTCATTAAGAATTATTGATGTATATCTCTTTTCTATATCCACACATAAACTCTTATATGTGTTTTATAATCAAGAATTTAATAATCTTTGAAGCTACTATTTTTATTGCATCCTCAATTCACTGTACTAATTCATGTCATTACAAACTGCAAAAAGGAGGAAATACCCCCATCTTGTGGTAACTAAAGAAAAATCCTTGATGCTCAAAGACTTTTCAAAAATAAAACTCCTAAATAGTAATTGATAGCACATTATCTCGTGTTTTTTGATAAAAAAATTCTCAAAGGATAAAAATAATTTCATCCTACCTCTGTATTACAATCAGAATAATTTAAATAATATGCCTCAACTGTTAGTAAAATAACATTTGTATTTTTGGATTAATGAAGCTAAGCCAGCACTAAGAATTCTGTTACTATTCCTGTACCACGTTTCAGGGAGCTACCTCTTCATCGTTATACATACCGCAATAATGAGTCCACTAGGTCCATTCAGATTATCAACCCAACCCTAAAAGAAAGAAGGTTTCTATCGGTTACACATTTCAGAAATTGTTTTATCTTTGGAACAGCTGCAGGCTAATGTTAACAAATTTCAAACAGGAACACTCTGAGACCCCAGCCAAAAACACTATCTATATTAAGATCTCAAAGATCAATGGCAAAGCATTTGCTACTTTTTGCACTTTGACTGTGCAAAAATTAAAATTTTGCCAGGATTGTTTTTCATATCAGGAATCATGAATGGTTTTGCAGTGTTTTATGACCTCTTATGGACTAAATTGAATCTTGTCCTTATATGATGATCTGTTAGCAATTCACCAACCATATTTCACCTCAGTCCTGATTTTAGCCTCCGTAGGAGAACACTGAAAACATGATTTGTGCTAATGGCCCTTTTCACTTTTTTTTTTTTTTACCAGCTATAGAGTCCATGCCGTATATATATATGTATATATACATATGTGTGTGTGTGTGTGTGCATGCGTGCATATGTGTCTATGTATTGACTTGCTTAAAGATGTTACAAAGAAGATTATGTTTAAGAGCAGTTAGAGGGAAATGTGTTTTTGAGTTTGTTTCCTAAGCCCCAAGCCATTCAGTTGACCTTATTATGTCTCTTTACCTTACAGTATAAAAGTCAAATGTGTGTGTATAACAGGAGAGGAAAGAGAAGAGAGGAGAAGATGAAGGGATTAATATTTAGTGGGTGTTTTAGTAGGAACCAGCCTTTTACTAGAGACTAAGCACTCCTCATACATTGTTTTATTAAATCAACGCTCCAAAGTAGTATCTGTCCTGTTTTATGGAAGGGACAACTCAAAAATGTTGCATTGCCAGTAAGTAGTGGAGCTAGAAGTTATCTGCCCCAAAGCTTCACAGACTTGCTTTGAAGAAGATGGTATTATTCAAAGTACTTTCAAAAGGACATAGCAGTATGCTGAGGTTACAAAAAAAATTAGTATTCCTAAACTGAGCTCCTTCTGTGAGCTTCAAAACTCGTTTCTCCTGGCAGTTGCAATGCTACCAATTTGGCCATCAAGAACATGCTGGTATGCTTAAACTATAGTGGGAAAGCCAAGATATGAAACCATCACCCATGGGAGTTCTGAGACTAGAATAATTAGAAGCTAATTTAAGATCTCTATCCAACTCTAGGACAGTCAGGGTAACTGCCAGAGGAGCCACATGATGTATAAATCCTGAACCCAAAGTGGAATTTTGTCCTAGTGAAATGGGTTCATATTTGATTGGCTGCACTTAGCTATAAATCCTGAGGAGAATAAGAAGACATCAGAAAGTAATTGGACTAAAAGAACCTTAGTTTGGAAGCAAAACACAGAATCCAGGTGAGTGGGCTTACTGGGAAAGGCTCCTGCCAAGTTGCTCCCACAATAGAGGGCCTTATGATGGCGATGTTCATGTTCCCGCTCTCTTGCTGCACCACCATTTCTCCCAAGGCCTTGGTGTAGGTGTAAGTATTGGGCCGATCGCCAATCAGCTTGGGTGTGATCTCGTCAATAATAGCATCGTCTAACCACCTAAAAGGTAGTCAGAGTAAAAAGAATTCTAGTAACATGTGTTAGACAATAAACCAAAAGGAAAATGTGAGACACAGACAAACAAAACTTCCACCTTCAGCCTTGGTACTGGAATTTGGAGCAGTCACATGATACCAAGTTTGAGGGTGTACCTGTTCAAAGCATGCATGAGCTCTTTGCTCTCCGCTGCTAAGTCCAGTCTTATCAGTCAAATCCTATGTCCTTCCATCCAAACAGATAAGTAGGTAGTAGGTAGACTGATAGAATCAATACCAATACTACTTTATTACTACTAATAGTATAGGGCTATTAGTACTACTTTAGTAGTACTACTTTAGCACTACTACTAATTTATCAGTATTGATTACGACTTTATCTGTACTGTAGTAGTATAAATTAGAGGTTATTACATTTAACCTCTTCCTCTCCAACAAGCTCATAAGTACATTCATTTGACATTTTTGAGTCCCAGTCATTCTCCCAGTAGTACACTGTATGCTATGTTCAGGGAGTTAGAGGCTCTCTTCCAAAGTGTTTCCATAGCAGCCCTAATCACTGTTGTCTGATAAAAACCCAGTGCACTGATCCTGAAGCCTTTAGCTTTAAATTTTAAAAATTTCATTCAATGAAAATCAAATCACAGTGACTACTTTTGGCAGACTTACAATCTGTTTTGGCAAATCTGTGTAATGTGTTTTGAAGGTCTGTTTAGAGTCTAGGTTAATAACTTGATAATTATCTCCAGAGATTTCCAACAAATTCATAAGTCCGTCAAGTGGGGTGATTATAGTGCTCCGAAATAGCTTCAAAATCACGATTATTGAATACTCCTACTTACAAGATAACATGTATCATGAATAACCAAGTTACCATAGCATCAGCCTAATCTTTCTTAAAAATATGTCAGAACCATTTGATAACCCTAACCTCTATCGACACCTCTCTAAGAGAGCAACAAAATTATTGTCAATTAAATATGTAACATTTCTTCTAGCTGACAGATCTATGTGGTTAAATTATGGATATAGCATAGCTTTTAAAAAATTAAGCTACTGGAATATGCTAGTGTGATTTTTCTAATCAATCTGGTACATTTATTTCTATTTTATAGAACATGACATAACTATACTATTTTGATTGTGGTAACCACTTTGCTGACATGACACATTTTTGAGCAACTAAGATGTACATGATAAGACTTACTCAGAATCATAACTTTCAATTTTAATGCCTCATTTGATCCTGAGGTAGAATGTGGGCATTGACTGTAATGTTTCCATTTTTCTTGCTTTGCTTCTGTTAGTGCTGAGAGCCTTTTCATTTAAATTGAATAGAGAAATATTGAGGGGTTCTAGAATTAAAAACAACTTTAATTACATAGAAATATCTAGGATATTTTAACTATATGGTCACCTGGCGGCTAGGAAAGAGTGTAGGATGATGCAGACAGCTCTCCATCTTAACAATAACCCTACCACTACCTCATTTCATTTGTGGGTCAACAGTGGATTGACTGACCTAAGACCCTTCTCTCTTACCTGCAAAAATATACAGTTTATGAAAACCAGGTCTTGAGGGAATAGAGCTTAATTTCAATAAGGCTGTAAAGAAAAGAATCCTAGAAAACATCAGAGCCCAACAATGTGCTGGGGATGTATGTCACATGGCTAGTACCAGTTGCTGTCATTAATTTTAGGGTACATGGAAAGGATAATATTTGGGAGGGTGGGGGACTTATAAAGCTTGGTGAGTTTGCTTGTCTTAGAAAACTGTGGTTTTATAGATTTCTAACAACATGTATGCAAGAAATTTTAATATTCTATAGATGGCTTGCCTCTGCTACTCTCAGCTATACTTGTATTTGGCTGTTTTATCTTCTCGTTCCAATTGTACTTATGAAAATGGCAATAATTATATTCATTCTAAATTCTCAGGCTATCATGAGAGTAAACAGGAATACTCACAACTGCATTTAAGCTCTTTGATAAAACAAAATGAGCCAATAAACCTAAGGCATTCTTATTTTTTAATAAAACAACCAGTGAGCATACATCTTCGTAATAGTTGGTCTTAAAATGTAATTTCTGGCCAAGTGAAGTGGCTGAAACCTGTAATCCCAGCCCTTTGGGAGGCTGAGGAAGGAGGATCATTTGAGTCCAGAAATTTTTTTTTTTTTTTTTTTTTTTTTTTT